AAGGAACCAAGGAAGGGAAAACCTACAGAATGAGAGAAAATATTCAACAATGACACATCCGACAGAGGTTTAACATCCAGAATATATAACAAACTCAAAAATCAAAGTATCAAGAAAGGAAGTAACCGAATTAAAAGATGGACTAAAGAACTGAACAGAGAGTTCTCAAAAGAAGAAATAAAGATGGCTAAGAAGCATCTTAAAATGTGTTCAACATCACTAAGAATTAGGAAAATGCAAATGAAAACCACTTTAAGATTTCATCTTACCCCAGTCATACTGGCTAATATCAAGAAAAAAAAATGATACCAAATGTTGGAGAGGATGTGGGGAAAGGGGAACACTCATCCACTGCTGATGGGACTGCAAGCTTGTTCAACCCCTATGGAAATCAGTGTGGAGAAATCTTACAAAACTGCAAATGAACATACCATTTGACCCAGTTATACCTCTCCTTGGCATATACCCAAAGAACTCATTCTATTACAGAGACACTCGTACATCCATGTTTGTTGCTGCTCTTTTCACAATAGCTAAAGGATGTAACCAACCTAAGTGTCCCTCAACTGATGAGTGGATAATGAAAATATGATTCATTTATACAATGGAGTTCTACTAGTGGTAAAGAAAAATGAAATCATGAAATTTGCAGGTAAATGGATGGAACTAGAAACCATTATACTATGTGAAGTAACACAGACTCAGAAAAAAAATGATGTATGTTCTCTCTCCTATGTGGAACCTACACCAAATCCTTATAAGTATATATGTATCCAGACATAACTACAGGAACCAGGATGATGAAAAGGAACCAGGGAAGTGAAGGAAAAGAAAGATTCTGAAAGAGAAGAACAGTAGGAAACAGGTGTTAATGAGAGAGATATGGGTAATAATGGGGTTATTTTAAAGGGAGGGGGAGGGAAGGTTATACAAGGAACCTAGGAGAAAAAGGGAAAGAAGGAGCTCAAGAGAGGTGGAAACTTAGGAGAAGGGTATTATTAAGGGAGAAATGGGAAAAATGGAGGCACCTTAAATGGGGAAACCTTGGTGGAAGGGTTAGAAAACCAGAGGGAACCATATTAGGTAGGCCAACAACCTACTGACAAATTATACATACAACCTGTTCAAAGAATGTAATATATGTCTAGGCAAGGTTTATCTGAGAGCATTTTGTCTTTGCCCAAGCTCTATCTACATGGCATATGGTAATTAAAAATACCAGACCAGTGGAACTAACCTTCTTGGATGTTTAACAGCCATACGTTGAGGCCTATACTAATTTGGTCAGGGGGACATAAAGGACAGTTTTTGCTCCTTGCCCTTCTAGATCGACTAAGTTCCAGGGGACTATGAGCATCTCTCAAAATGTCCTGTAACTGTGGTGAGTCACCTGTCCTCTTGATCAAGGAGGCCACAGAGACCCCACCAGATGGACCTGAACCAGTGTCCAGTCTACAAAGGGGAGGGTCAACACAGAGGAAATATTTCCTCCATGTTTCCATGTTCGTGAAGCCAGCCATGATCGGGCAGGACCTTTTACTTATCTTCACATAGACGGAACTGATAAAAGAAAGGAGCCAGGGGCTCTTCCCAAGTCCATGTTACTCCTGAGGAACAGATACTCAAATGACCTTAAGAGTAAAAATAAATTTGTTTACCTGGGCCAACTGTAGGGTCTTAAACACACAAAAGGAAAGTATAACTAAAGATTTATGTGGTCAATATAATTTTTAAGAGTCCATATGTATAGCTAAAGGCTACATAACAAGAAACAATGCCAGAGAGGTGATATCTTCCTTTGAGTTATTGGCCACGGGGGCCCAAAAGACTCCCAGACAGTAATCCAGCATAGAACTGGGGAACAGCAGACCCCAGTCTTATCTAAAGGAATATTGACAACTGATTGCTGCTAGATGAGGAACAGCTGATCTTCCTAAAACAAGGATCTCTAGATAGGCTGACTAGATTCAGTAGACGGACAAGCACTAGAGAATGGCTGGGTGAATCGACAACACAGTGGATAGTAACAAGATGACAGAGTATATGGGTTCCAGTGTGTGGGAGGGGCTATTGGAGGGTGCCATTTGTGAAGTGGGTATATAGATGTATAAGACAGTGTGGGATGTTCTGTATGATATACACACAAAAAAATCAACAAATTTTAAAAAAAGACATATTTGAGGAGGAAGCATAAAAATTTACTTCATGTTAAATAGTAGAGGTGATAAACATTACCAGTGAAATCTACCTGATGACTATATATCCATACTCAGGTACTAAGGATCTGAGTGTAACAGACTGTGACTAGTAAAATTTAGATATATAGAGATTAGAATTGCATGTGCAAACATCTTAGTGTTAATTGCATTAAAAATGAATTTTTCTGTATGAAAAAAAAAAAACACTCTGATGAA